TATATATATATATATTAATAACATGCTTGACTTACATAAGAACTTGTACCCAAGTTGGATCGGATAATTAACTTAATTACTGGATTAGTTTAGTAATAGAGTATATGGACAAGGTAAGAGGTTGTGCTTGGTACAAAACAATCACCTATCGAACTTGTGTCGCTTAACAAACCATGTGTTCGACGAATTGCCTCAACAAAGGCTTGAAGGCACTGGGTTGGTTCTGCGCAATGCGTCTTTCTTTTAAAAACATCCTGGCCAAAATGACGTTGTTTTGGACTAGGGTTTAAAATATAAAAAAAAGCAATTCGTGGGCTTTAACAAGCTCTAATGGGCGGATTTCTTTTTAAGTTAATTGTTTGGCTTAAATTTATCGCAAGTGAAGATAGTTTCCAATCTGGGAATTCTTCCTCAAGACGGCAATTCAACTACTTTTCTTAAACGCAGACACAATTTTTCTTTTCTTTCCTCAGCAAATTATTTTTATAATGAAAGTAGATGACTTAATTAACACATCCTTTTCTTTTAATAATAGAAAGAAAGAAAATATAACTTTATACAGAGGAGGAAGAAAAAGCACACGTGCTTTCCCTCTTGCTTAAAAAAAAAAAAAAGCTTTTAGTCTTTCAAAATTGCACCTCCGCTAAAAAATTCATGAATCCGCTAGTATGCACTCCTCCGAGTAGAATTTTTCCTTTATGTTGTTATAGCATATGAGTCAAGATAATTTTTTTGTGGAAAGCTAATAACAATTCGGTTTGCAAGCAGCTTGTAGCTCAAATTATGAAGAGTATTTACCCCCATTTGGATTTGGGTCTTCAAGTGAGGGATCAACAACTTTCTATGTTTGATAAGGTTTAACACAATATACAATCACATAAGATTTGAGAATTGAATTTGAGTCAAAGGCCACAAAGATGCCCCAAGTTTGGCCTTCTTCTTAGTTGAGGCCAGGGCCACAGGCTGACAGCTACACGAAAACCACCATACTAAATTTAGGCCCAAGGTAATGGTTCTCTCAGTTGGCACTTTGCATGCCAATCACCTAATAGGGAGTATGGGCTCATATTTGAAATTGAAAGCTTCAAATATCGGCATGTTTGGATCCATCGTTATAAATGTTTGCATGAGGCAGGTTCTTTGTCGCAAAGAGGATCTTCAGCAGCCTAGCTAAATTCACTTCTAAGTCATGATTTACTCAATTTGACTCAAATTCACCCAAAAGCACCACTCCTACAATATATTTACTATCTATAAAAAGCTCATATAAATAAACCAACATGTCTACACAGTAACGGTTTGACGTGGTATATCAGATACACCAAATAATTTCTCATTTCGTATTCTTGAATTATAGTCATTGAGACTCATTGATACATTAGTTTTTATTTTATTTTTTAATAGAAAAATTCCTCAAGCTCAAGTTATCCAAATTTAATAGATCATCTTTGTAAATTTTTTCATAAAAAAACATCTGTTGCAATTGCTTATCTATATACACTCAATGCCCTATTAATTTTGGACAAAAGTTGCAACCACCTCCACCTCTTTGGCTCTTAGAAACAAATAGATCAACACATCAACCTAGCAGACTAGACTGTTATGTTGGCTTCTGCTCAACTGTAAGCTATAGCTCATGCTTCATAATCTGTCATCATCATAACCTGCCTTGCTTTGCTTTGCTTCTGCAACTCTTCTGCTTATATATATATATATATATTTGCTGTGTTTGCCAATATCAATATTCAATACCATGTTGATCGGTTTTGAACAGTTCAACTTGATTACGAAATTAGCTACAATACAAGAAACTAATTAAGACATGGAAAACAACAAAGCTAGTCGATCGAGGAAGATGTC